AACCATTAGCTGCAGAACGGGCTTTTGAGTAGCGGCGTAACATCACATCATTAATATGTGTCTGTAGAGCAACACAAATTTCCTCTCCCTGCATAGAATGAAGATGTCAAGATATGTAAAATAGTGAGCCAGATTGAATCAACCATCTATAAACACAATAAGATAAGCATGTTCCATAATAGACCNACAAAGGAAAATATCACCATCATATCCACTGTTAAATTTATCTGCTTCCCAAAGAAACTAGAATGCGGTAAGAGAAACTTCTTAAATCAAGACCGTCAAATTTAAAAAGTGATAAATAACCATGTCAAATGATCTTAGAACCTTTCTAAAATCAGAGTTAGAGGGACTAAGCCATCTATACATAAATCAGACTTTGAAATTCTTGAGTCTAAGAGAAGGGAAAAAAAGGAGAAAAGAAAAAGAAGAAACAGACAGATAGCACAAAAATTAAGGTTCCAGAAGATTATAAGAAGCTGTTCATTTGACTGATCAGAAGCCATTTGTTACTTCTTAAGCATTTTTTGATTTAGTAGTTACTCCTTAAACATTAACCAAGCAAATAACAAATCCACAATAACATGAGATGTATGCTGGAAGGAAGCACAAGACTGATAAAGAAACCATAAACAAAGAAGAAAGGAAGAGATAAAAGAGAGAAACAAGCAATGCAAGTTTTGGTGTTAAAGAACATATCCCACATGGGTTGTATAAGTCCAAAGGGTTTATAACAGCCTAGGATACTCCAATATTATCTTATGGTTTTAGCTTGGATATTCAGATTGTCCTACACCAAAAAAGTTACACTTGTCCCACTTTCCTGTGCAATATTTTTCGTTAAACTTTACCTGAATACCAAAGGATAACTAGTGAGCCCTACATGTTCCTCGTATGCCTAGAGATTTTCCAACTGTCATGTAAAGTTCATGTTGAGTCAGACATAGCCATTAGCTTTTTGGATAAAAGAGTGATGAATAAAAACAAGGATCTCCTAACTCTTGCTAAGCTCTACCACATTATAAATACCGTGCACATTTTGTCGTATGTATACTGTATGGAAATTCAGCAATACCTCAATAGCATCAGCTACCGTTGTGGCCATGTCATATGTAATTTCTTCGAACGTTTCATCCAAGAAAAACACTATTGTAGTAAGCTTTTTACCAGTTAAGAGAGCTTCAATCTCCTCACGACCAGGTATCGTGTGCCTAGGTCCAGCCTTAATAGAACGTTTCAACGCATTTAGAGTATTTATTGCATAAACTTGAACCTCAGAATCAGTATTAATTCCATGTGCAACAGTATGAATATATTCTGACAAGTATCCACCAATTTCCTTGCTCGGAGGCATGCAAGATGCACACAAGTACATTAGCTCCCATGCTTTAATCAAAGAATGCCTGTATTTACGAAGCAAGCATGTGAGGAACATTGTCAAGTAAAAAGCAATAGAATGAACAGGAAGAAGAGAATATCAGCTTCCCATTTCTCAATTAATAAGCTTGATGTCAAAAGTACCTCTCCGGATTATTCCTTGTTTGCTTTGAAATTTGGGCAAACATTTCATCACGAAGCTCAGACCGCTTCAACGCCTGCTTAAATAGCTTGCCAACAAGCTCGATTCGCTCATCCAAGCTGATTGGAGCTGCTCTATCATAGGAATCAATACCCATATACTTCAGAATGGACTGAAATAACTTAACTGTCCTGCCAACGAGATCGCCATTTATTTTCAGAATTGATGTTGGAATGGGTTCCTGTCAGGATGGGAGTTGTTTTTAGTTTGTACATGCCAAAGAAATTAAAAGTGTAAACAGCTAAAGAGCTTAATCTTACCCTTTGGAAACACAACATATCCTCAAATGTGAACTTTTCCCGAACTTGTGGCCCAACGGATTTTTTTAAAAAGAACCCACGTTTTCCAGCAGATTGAAGCTGCTTTTGCATAGCCTTCAAAAAACCCTCAACCTATAACCACAAAGAATCTCTATCACCTCTCTAAAGTAAAAGGAAAACAGAATTGAGGTCTGTCACGTCATTCTTAATAGAATTCAGAAAAGAAAAAAAAAGTCACTCCAGTCTTCGACTCTTTGTTGTGTGCATACAGATTGAAATGATTTTCTTTTTTTCGGAAAGACATGTCTCACCTGGAATCTGTCAATATATGGTATCGCGCCAGCAAGTTCGGGTGACAGAACTGATGAGAGAGTAGTTGGGGTGCTACACATTGCACAAGGCAAAACACAGTTGGTAATTGTAACTTGTAAGTTATATAGTATCAAACAACACTACCCATTTCATCAACATGTAAAATAACACCAAAGTAAATCAAAATGGAAAAAATGAAGGGAGAGACTTACGGTGGAGCAAAATTGGAACCATCACTATCATAATCATCCCCATTTGAGGTTGCAAAAGAATAGTGTGAAGGTGTTTCATATCCGTTACTTGAGCCAAAAGAAGACCTGCTTGACCTCATGCTAACTGGTGGCATATCAGAAGTCATGTTCCAAAATTATAGTCTCAACTCTATACAACTATTAGAAAGACCATCCAACTTCTCAATTAAGCAATATTTTGCTGACCCTTAATCTTCAATAGCTTCCTCAGTTACCTGACCAAATTAATAACACCATGATTATTAGAAATCAAAGAAGCCCAAAAGCATAACTTGATCCACCAATTTTGAATCAGATTCCAAAAAAATATATCCACACATTAGAGAAGGTGCCAATTTCAACAAATAGTCAACATAAGTCCAAAAACATAAGCATCATTAACCGGAGCAAACCATAACAGAATCACAAAATACTATCAACATTGCACCATATGCTATAAACTTCACAGAAAAACTCAAAAGATTAGATAAGTAGCAAGCTACCTAGCAGCCACCAAATAACCAACAAATTTTTCTCCTAAAACAAAGAACCGACTAATTCTTTACACCGAGATCCACTGAATCAAAAGCAAAAAACTGCAGAAAATGTTAGAAAATTTCAAACTTTGGAATAAGATTACACATTGGGGGAAAAGACAACAAGTCATAACCACTGAAGTAGATCGAAAACCCACAATGACAAATCAAAAGCGCAAAAATCCAGTAGACAAAACAGCATAACATCAGTTGTAGCTCAGAAATAAAAGCATAAAAACTTCTGGGTAAGTGCCTTTCTTTTTCGAACTTTGTGTACCTCCTAAGCAGAAATGCTGTTCACACTTAGAGAAGCTCATAAATTAGAAAAGGGTAAGTAAGTGAAGGATATATGAGAATACCAAAGTAAAAAATGATGAAAAAAAGAAGCTTTGGGATTATGCTTTCCTTAGAATGAAAGATCGCCACCACCAGAGAGAGAAAAATAGAAAGAGAGATGTAATGGTGGTGGAGTGAAGGAGGGAGAAAGAAGATGGTGTGGAGGGTCACGAGAGTTTTTTAAATAATTTCAAAGCTCTTTTTTGGGCAAAATGTACAACGAAAATTAGAAATGGTGTTCCAATAACTTGGATATAGTTATACTACCATATAAAATATCAGAATTGTCTGCTTATTACATTTGGTCCTGATTTTGTTAAATGAAGTGAATAAAGTTTTTTATTTTCATAGCAAACTATTTTCTTTCTGTTTTTTTCTTCCTCTGGAATTTTAGAAAAACTTGCATTTTTCCTTTTGCCTAAATTAATCCCAACTCATAAAATTTCACATTAGTAATATAATGCTTGATTGTACAAAAATAAATCCTATATTTAATTCGGGGTATAGCATTTGATAAACCTTATTAAACTATATACACTTCTAATATGTAAAAATTTGTGTATTATTTTATTCGTGATAAAAATTAACAAAGATAGACTATATCTTGTATTTGATAAGAGGCATAACTCTAGATTTCTCTTTTTCTTTTCTAGGTTTATTTTTTGGGTTTCCAAATTTTACCTTTTGTTACACGAAGAAAATTGGACAATTTGAGACACGTAGTAGAACATCTTAATCTAAATTAGAGTATATAAGGATCAAGCCAAATTAAATCTTCACAAAATTTGATATAAACGAAATTTGAAGAATTTTCCTAAATTATACAAAAGAAAGACGTTTTAAGTGTCACGACTCGGATTTCTCACCCTCGGGACTAGTGATGGCGCCTACTAATGTGAGCTAGGCAAGCCAATCCTTAACTGCTTACTTCATTAACAAATTACTTCTTTTACTAATTAGCAGTAATATCATGAAAATAACGGAATTAATTAAATGTGTGGAAGACTTAAATTAAAGAAACTGAACAATAATGCGGAAATTAACATGTGCCTCTACCCAAGAACTGGTGTCACATTACTCACGAACTTCTAAGAGTACTAAATACAACCGTTTGAAAGAAAAATATAAATTGTTTGTCTCGGAAACATGAGATAACATACGGAAATAAAAGATAGAGAAGACGTTGGGCTTGCGAACGCCTGCAAGGCTACCTCGGTGTCTTACTGGACTGAAGGCTGGTTCACGCGCTACTGCTAATGTCCAAGACCTGGATCTGTGCAAAAGAGCACAGAGTATAGTATCAGCACAACCGACCCCATGTGCTGGTAAGTGTCCAGCCTAACCTCGGCGAAGTAGTGACGAGGCTAGGACCAGACTCCAAATAAACATGTGCAGTTCATATATATATATATATATACAGCGGAAAAGAGATACAGAAATAACCAGTCAATGTGGGAGGGGGAAACATGTTGTGGGGGAGATAATAGTTCCGAATAGAAAGGCATCAAACAAGGAAAGAATCAACATAACTAGAATATCAACAAGGAAGCAGAAATCAACAATTTGCACGGCATCACCCTTCGTGCTTTACGCTCTTCCTCACCCAAACAACAATCACAAGGCAAACAGGGTAAGGGAATCTAAAATCTCAAAGTAAATCAAATAACAACAAGTAGTAAAAGAAACATAACTCGGATATCAACAAAAGAATCAGAAATCAACAAATGCACGGCATCACCCTTCGTGCTTTTACTCTCGTCCTCACCAAATCAATCGTATCATAAAGATGTGCACGGCATCGTCCTTCGTGCTTTTTTTCTCTTTCCTCACCATATAATCAATAAAATCGGCACGGAATGGTACATTGTGCGGTACGGCATCACCCTTCGTGCATTTACACTCTTTCCTCACAATAGCAAACAATGCACGGCATCACCTTTCGAGCTTTATCGCTCTTCCTCACCCAAACAACAATCACAAACAATGGGCAAGGGAGTAAACAAATAATAGTAGAAGTCCTGGCAAGGGAATACAATTAAACAGCTAAATCCCGACAAGGGAACAATATCAATAAATCTCAATATCCCGGCAAGGGAGATAATCAGCAAAGCAACAAACATCCCGGCAAGGGAACAAATCGATAACTCTTTCTCTTTCTTTCACTTCTTACTTCATAACTCACTTTACCACTTGAGCCAATGCTCCAAAGGGTTCAATTATCTCATATACTTTCACAATTCGTATTATCATTCGAGCCAATGCTCCTCAAAGTTCAAAGATCACAATTTCTTTCACATGCTCTTTACAACATATAGAAATCATCATTTAGGCATGAAAGATATAATAAAATCAGAATATCGGCAATATAGGGACTCACTATCATGCTAGACACCAACGTATAGATACTCGTCACCATGCCTATATGTCGTACTCGACAATTAGCAAGTAGCAACTAAGACTCGGCTCCTAATCCCTCAAGCTAAGGTTAGATCAAACACTTACCTCAAACTTCCACGGCCAAATCAATCCTCAATTACCGTTTTCCCTCTCAAATTCGGCTCCAAATCGATTGTATCTATACGATAATGACTTCAATACATCAATAAATGCTAAATAATGCGAACCCAATGCCTAATTATAGCTTTCCAAGCATTCTTCCCAAAATCCCAAAAATCGACCCCGGGCCCGCTTGGTCAAAACACGAGGTTCGGACCAAAATCATATCACTAATTCGCCCACGAGCCCGAATATATAATTTGTTTTCAAATCCGACTCCAAAACGAGGTTTAAATCGAGAAAAAAAAATCAAAAAGCCATAACTCTACCCAATTCTCTAATTCTTACCCTTAATTACATGTTTTAGGCTTAGGATTTCAATAGATATTGAAGAAAATGAAAGAAAATAAGCTAAGAATTACTAACCCAAGAGGTTTTGATGAAGAATTGCTTCAATGATCGCCCAAGAGCTTGGAGAAGAAAGGTTTTGTGAAATTTTTGGTGAATCTCGTAATGACACTGTTTTGGAATTTTAAAATTAAACTGGGCGAAATTACTCATCGCGTTCGCGACAGGCTGGTCGCGTTCGCGATGGGTAACACTTAGCAGGCCATCGCGATCGCGAGATGAGGAATGCGAGTGCGGAGAGTAAAATGTTGTGGCCCAGAAATTGTCCTACGCGAACGCGAAGAGAGAATCCTGCAAGGCTACCGAACGCGAGTATATACACGCGAACGCGATGAGGAAAAGAAAACTCAGCCCTCAACGTCAACTAATACTACGCGAAAACGAGGGCTGGGATGCGAACGCGAAGAAAGAAAAATTTAAAGCTTCGCGAACATTGGAGATGGGACGCGAACGCGAAGAAGGAATGGGGTCTGCAACAGCTGAAGCAAAATCTGCAATTTTTCATAAGTCCAAAACCACTCCGAAACACTCCCGAGCCCTCGGGGCTCTTAACCAAACACATGCACTAACTCAACAACATCCTACCAACTTAACCATGCGATTAAATCGCCCAAATAACATCAAAAATAATGAATCAAACCTCAAATCAAGAGTTTTTCTTCAAACTTCATTAAGTTTCAAATTTAGAACTTTAAGCTCGAAACACGTCAATCGACGTCCGATTTTAATCAAACTTAACAAAAACATCTTAAATCATATATAAGACTCGTACCGGGCGCCGAAACCAAAATACGGGCCCGATACCAACACGTTCTAATCAATTTTCATTTCAAAATTCCTTAACATTTTCAGAAAAACAATTTTACTCAAAAATTCATTTCTCGGGCTTGGGACCAGATCCGTTTACCCAAAATGTTGACCGAAGTCAAATTTATTCATTTTAAACTTAAAACTTAGCATTTTTCACAGAATTTCATATTTAAGCTTTCCGTCTACGCGTCCGGACTGCGCACGCAAATCGAGGCGACTCTAAATGAGGTTTTCAAGACCTCGGAAGCACATAATGGATAAGAACACAGATGACCTTTTGGGTCGTCACATTAAGTAATTAATTAATGTTTTGATTTACCATCAGACTAGAAAACTAGTCTTAAGCGTAGAATAGCATTTACGTTACTACTTTGTGCTACCATAATGTCAGTGTTGCTTCAGCTTCTCGTCAGTTCAATTACTCAATTCTCTAAAATGAATAAATTATGCATGCATCCAAATGAAAGGAGATCAGGAGAAACTAATAAGCTAAAAGTGACAATTTAAATAAGAAACAAAAGCTATTGAACCAAATTTGTGAAAGTTACTGTGGTAAAATCTTAAATTTATAGTCTACGGGGTAAATTATCTTTATTATTTTTAACATGGTTTTTTCACTACTGTTTTTCTCCTTTTCAAATCTGCTATGAATTGCTTTCTTGAAATAAGAGTCTATAGGAAACAATCTTTCTACCTCCACAAGGTTTGGAATAAGGTTTGCGTACACATTACCCTCCACAAACCTATACAGACCTACACTGTGATAATAGTATATTGTTTATGTTATTGTTGTTGTAGTATTACATATCTAGTCATCCGTTATTGAGAAAGAAAAAAAAAATTACATAACTGATTAGCATTCTTTATAAATAGAGATCAATGACCCTCTCTGTTATTAACTTTATACGTGTTTTGTTGTCTTGAATATGTGAAAAAGTCACTATCGTATTAGCACTAAAACCCTTCCTTATTCCTATTTTCGTTCATATGTCTTCTACCCCGATGGAGGAAAAAATGAAACGGAAAAAATTTGCAAATGTTGGGTTTGATATCGAGAAAATAAAAATTCATTGGATGTGACTAAAGGGATCAAAGAAATTTCCAGGGTAAAGTACAAAAAACTGTGGGGGCAAAAGAAATGAAAAATCAAAGAAAGATTCTTGCCCTCAGCTGTAAGGTTTGAAGCATATTACCCAATCCTATTAAAGAAGTACAAGCACTGGACATATCGGATTGAGACTTTGCACCATTAGCTGGGACCTAAGGTTATTGGGTAGCATGTAGTTTGTATAATTTGATTGTTGGTTACTAGGACCATACCCTACCATAATATTCTAGTATCCTATAATTATGTTCCAACAAATGTATACTTCTCTGAATTACTCATCAAATCCATTGGACTCCTTCAGCTTTTTAAGGAAGGGATGATTGAGGGTTGATGTTTCCATTGAGATTCCTGTTTAACCAAAAAGTGGAATTTCGGATAAAGCCTTAATTTA